TGACTTTCTTCCAAGTTTTACCTTCAATAGAAAAATCTGTCTCCGCACCGTTGAGCACCGCGTTGCGCTTTACTTTAAATTGCGACCGAGTGTGCTAACAAACTTACTTGTTCCATTAACTATCTTACTTTCCATGTTTGTCAGCTGTTAGTTCGCAGTTTTTTTCAGTTACCATGAAGTCTCCCTCGCGCGTGTATACCGAGCCTGTTTACTCGCCGACATTGGCCCTAATGTCCTTCTCCTTGGACGCTGTTTTCTTTTGTTTTTTTTTTTTTTTTTTGCGGATCCGAGACAAATTTATGAGCCACATAATATAAAAGTGGCATATTTATCGCGTCGCATCGACACGGACCCCCGTATCGACGTCATTACATCGAGACGTTTACTTAATCCGAAACTTTAATGGGAGTTAGTCTTCGCGCGATACCGCTCCAAAGTTTTGTCACGCTCCGCGGGAAAGTAGCTTATGATATTATCGTATTTTCTTTTTTTTAATCTCTTCGAAAGGGAGTTTCGGGCGTTTCCCTTGCGAATCATTTCTCTTCTACGTTTCTCGTCGCGGACAGTTTTTGTTCGTCAAACATAGAAATTGCACGCCTCGTTAGATTGTATTTTTACGTAATCGAGATGTAAAAAAAAAAAAAAAAAAACGATACAGCGCTTGTTTGTTCGAACAAAAAGACGCAACTTTCTCTTTTCCGGACACGAGTTGCGTAATTTTTATTAACGAGTTGAAGTCGCGGGTTAATAATCGTGGCCGATGACCTTATTTTTTCTTCCCTCGATGTCACTCTGTTCGCTTTGACGCGTGGCCGAGGTGTTCGATTATAGCATTAAACTGAGCTTAACGCCTCGAGTGGCGGAAAACGCGCGAGTTATGGCTCGTTAAGTATCGCGCGCCACGTATACGTATGTACGTACATAAGGGAATGCGGAAACGCGAAGTTAAGTAATAAACGTGTATCCCGAACACACTCGTTGTAAACCAGCTTTGCGAAACAATGCGACGCATTTTTCCCACGCTGAGATTTTCCAGCCCTCCTTTCCCCCCAACTTAGAAACTATGTTACCACGTTCCACATACCACCGTTACAGGCCTGAGAGAGAGAGAGAGAGAGAATTTGCCTTAGCGATAAATAAGCAAATCAAGCAGATTCGCCGTCGTGTGGAAAAACCAATGTCCGGAGAGGATGTTAATTAAAGTATATTCAAATGTACATTCAAAAATCTCATTTAATCACAAGCGTAATATGTATGTTCGGTATCACACCGATTTGTTGCGCCTGACATAAAATCGCCGGTGTAACATTAAAACCACCACGTAACCCGGCACACGGCGCGCCGAGTGTATATTTAAAAATATATTGAAATTACCTAATAAAATATGCATTGAAAATCTGCTTTACGCCGAACGGCAAAGTGGAATCAAACGATCGTGCTTTATCGACGTTAGCCACTTGCACTCGCGGGGAGGAATTTCGACGGAGAAATCGATACGCGCTTTCAACGACGTACGTAAGTAGTCGCGACGAATATAAAACATGCTCGACGAGATAAAATTTCGTGTTTCGGGAATCGTCGTCGTCGTCGTCGTCGAGTGTAGCTTTCATTACATCTCGCCTCGGTGATTCGCGAAATGGGCGCGTCGTAGAAAAACGCGCGCGCGGCGCAGCTAGCTATCGCGCGCGGAAACGGAACCCCAGGAATCTCGGCACGGCGCCGGAGAAAACGACAAGGACGGATACTTTCACCGGAGCGGACGCTCTGAATTTCTCGTTTGTGCAATTCAGCCGCGTAATCTAATGAGCAAACGCCGCGAACTTAACGTGCGGACCGGAAATTGAAGTATACATTATGAAGCGTGGTACAGCGTCGGGGCGCTTCCTATGCGAGCGGCGTGCAGTCGCCGTCGCCGCCGCCGCTGCCGTTGCCGCCACCGCCGCCGCCGCTATCGCGAAACCAGGTCGCGCATGCCGGTCTTGTACCTCCCTTCCCTCTGCTCGAATTTGCGAACTTCGCACTCCAGATATTGCAGTTTTCTGATTCGCGGGTTGTAACGATGAATATTTAGCAAAGGCTACGTGACCGCGCTGAGTATCCGCGCTTGAGTCGAGTAAGGGTCGACGGTTTTCAGAAGGAATCCTTCTCGAGTCGAGAAACGTAACTCGCTGTCGGGGAAACTGATTTATTGAGTTAGCGCGGAATGTTCTCTCAGTTATCTTTCTTCGCTCGCCGACTCCCGTAATCATTTTTCGTCATAAATCGCACGCGCTTTGCATATAGAGGCCAATGGCTGCGGATGGCCGGACTGAAAATGCTCGCGGCTTTATCACACGACTCGTCGTGATGTAAATGAAGTATAAAGTTGCGCACGGGAGTGCGGGACCGGTGATAATTCTAATTTAAATTACTCGGGACTCTTCTCTGTCTTTCTCTTTCTCTCGGTATAATGTTCATGGAACACATGTGAGCGTAATGATAAAATTATTATTATTATTTTTGTCATGAGCGCGCGCGGCGCTTTATCTTTGAAAATACAATTTCCGCAAATTGTACGCGTCGCGGCGGTTGAAGGGAAACCGCCGAATCGCATATATATAATAGTTACAAAACGCGACTCTCTCGCTCGCGGGGAGAAACTTTGATCGTCCAAGTTAAACGTGGCTCATCTCAACTTCTCCGCTCCAGAAACCCCCGCTTGTAACGACAAAATTGTCGTTGCAGATCGACGATCCGGGAGAGAGAGAGAGAGAGAGAAAGAAAGAGAAAGGGAGAGAGAGAGAGTCGAGTTTCGTTTGTTTACGAGCACTCGGACTAATTCGACGACAGAATTCACGGTCGACTTTCCTCGGTCATTTCGCAAAATTCGATCGGGTTCCGCTCGAGTTAACCCGTTCCTGAGAACTTTGTCAGCGCGGAATTTACGCGGATAATTAATCTTTCGTACAACGAGGGCGGATTAATTGAGTCGCGCAAATTTATTCACGGCCAAAGGCTCTGTAAATCCTTCGGATCGCATTAACGCCCAGAATTGAATGATTTTCGCGCAGTTCGGACGGCACGTACGCGTATAGTGTTTTCCATGTAACGTCATTGCGAACTTCCGTCAAGAATAATATCGATGAAATTCCATGTTTTATTTTGTGTGTGCTTACGTTTTTGTATGAATAAACCGTGGAGTGCGCTGAAACATAATATTGCTGTTTGCAATAGAATATTTTGTAGTACGGAACGCAAAAAATATGTATATGTTTGTAAAAAAAAAAAGTACACATATCCGCGCAATATTTATTATACAATATTTATTATTTCGCATTTTTTTATGCGGATTAAATTAAATCGTTTTGAGAACAAAACGGTCTTTTGTGGCGGTATTAAACTTTTAAAATTTAATCGCGCATTGCAATCGTCTGTTAAAATGACAGTAATATTTATGAGCGCTGTATAGGTCAAACATGACGATGATATATAAATGGCAAAGAGAACATCAAGCGCAAGCACATCGATTTTATAATTAGATTATTTCTCCGGAAGGATGAAAATTGAAAATTACGCGAGCATTTATTTCATATAATGGGGATTGGATTGGAGGAGCGTTCACATCGCGTTTATTAAACGGGAAAATTTTACTTATAATTAAATCCGAATTAATAGCGCTTCTCATATTATATTATTGTATGTGTTACTTAATTTTCTTATTGCCCTTGTCTGGAACACACATACAGCGCATCCACACGCGAATAATAAACATTTTGCTTCGTTATTGTTATATAAGGTGTATTTCCATGTGTGTTTTTTTAGCAATCAAAAGAATAAACATTCGTTTCCTCCTCCTTCTATATAAAAAAATCCATGTGTATCGCGAAGTACGCGTTTTGATATCGAATATATCGCATCTATTGTTGTCTCTTTTCCGCGTAGCCGATTGGTTAGTTGGTTGATCGAGTTGAGTCGAGATCGAATCGAATTGGTAAAATCGAGAGAGTAAATAATGACAAAAAAGCAATTTTGACAGTTTGTCGTATATGTGGAGAAAATTAAAAACGTGACTAAAGTAAAGTCATGTAACAAAAAAGAGTAGAAAAACAACACGTGATTAAAGAAACGTGACTGTACTTTATATTATATATAACATTAAATATAATATATATTATACATATAATTTATTATATATTCATATTATACTTTATATTACATTATATGTATTATATACATACTACAGTAAGGTCACTGACCTCGGTCGCGTGACCGCTGCGAGGTTACTGACCTCGGCCGCGCGGCCGCGGCAGGGTCACTGACTTTGGTCACGTGATTACAGTACATATATATATATATATGTGTGTGTGTGTGTGTGTTATATATAGATATAGAATATTATATATAATACATATAATATTCTCTTTTTTATTCTTTTCCCTGTCATGTGACTTTAGTCACGGTGTTTTTCTATTCCTTCTTGTCACAAGATTTTAATCACGTGTTATTTTTCCATTCTCCTCTTTTTCTTTTATTTTTCGAGTTTGATTTTCATGCATTATTTCTGACATCTCTCATATGTACATCATGTGTATTATATTGTTTGTAAGACGTATATACCAGCTGTCATTGTGTTGTGCTAGTATAATAAATATTAAGGTATAATCTGCTTCTCTTTAAAACAAACATTTCGCTCGTCATCGCGAGAAAACTTTTTTTAATTCGGATGGATGAAATTTTTTTTGCCATGTTAATGGCAACGTAAATGTATGTAAATGGCAATATAATGTATCTATAATATTTTTTACTAGAAAATTGTCTCATTTTTTTACGTAAAAATGTACCACGCACGAATTTTAGAAAGATATGTTCGAGTTTTTCCGGAAAATATAATACACACACGCATACACAGTTAACACACATTATACGTCGCGCTAAACAAAGCTATGTTATTTTACACTTTTTAATTCGTATATTTACGTCACTCTAATTTTCGCCTCTCTCTCTTTTCTGTGTGACTTCAGGAGTGGACGGACTACAATCTCCAGTGGAACGAGACCGAGTACGGCGGAGTGAAGGACCTTCGAATTACACCGAACAAAATTTGGAAACCGGATATCCTCATGTACAACAGGTAATCTGGCCTCGTTACATCTGCGTAGCGGTTCTCATTTTGTATTATTGACAAGCCAGTAGCCTTTTCGACTAACACACCATTTGTCAGAGATATATTTCAGCCAAGCGCATGCTTGAAAGGAGAGGGCGCCCCAGAAAGTAATAGAATTTTTAATTAACACTAGACGGACGCGCGCAAAACGTCCGCGTGCTACGCTCGTAATCACGGTGTTAACAAAGCACATCTGATAGAAGAAGAAAAAAGGCACATCGTAAAATATGCACGTAAATTGATTTTCCAAAAACCGCGTGAAAAATTTCGAAACGAATATTTCTGTTACATCGTATTGACGATTCGACGTGCATCTGTTTTTGTTTTCTTTTTTTTTGCGTGAAAAGAAATATTTAAGTCGACGAAATACAATTCTCTGTTGTGTGTGCGGAGAATAGAAGCGTAACGATCAAAGTTTCGCGATTGTTTCACGTGACGTTTTCCGGAGAGCGTGTAGTGCGCGATAACAACCGCTAAACCAATGCAAGAACGAAAATATCGACGACGAGTTTGCATTACGCGCGAACCGTCAAATTCTCACCCGCTCGCGCGTAGTACGCGCGCGACGTAATCCGCCGTGATTTAACTACGATACAATTGCCACGCGTCGATGAAGATAAGCCGCGGGACTTCCGGTGGCTCGCATCGCGATTCCAGACTGTCAATATTTCAAGCGTGACAATTTACGTCGCGCAAAGCATCAGAAAGTTACCGTTTGCGCAAACAGCAACTTATTGATTCGCAAATAACGCGCGAGAGATACAACACGCACTCGAGAAATTGCGAAAAAACTTATGTGTTATTGACGTGAACGCGCGAATTATTTATTCCGAATATGCACATGTATGTATATACGTCGCGAGTTGAATTTCTTTTCGCGTTACGTTAAAAACGTGAAAGAAAAAAAAAGAAAGAAAAAACGGTTGCCTTATAACTTGTGTCCGGGAGACATTCCACCTGTGCGCTTCTCGAGAGAGAGGAAAATTAAGATTTTTAAGAATGTTTTTTTTTCCAGAGAAAAGCTGCGACGGGCTAAGAAATAGCGCGGCAGTGACGCCACTGCAGCAAAAGTTTTTTCATTAACTTTAAGTTCGCTTCTCGCACGGAGATACTCCCCGCTCCGTTCGGAGCGTAAATTATTTTCGATATGTACTCTTTGTACTCTTTTCACGTGCCTTTACGAATGTAGTATATCCTATACTTTGAAAAACAAAAAAAACAAAAAAACAAAAAAAAAATCGAAGGGTACGTAACTTTTATCCTAGTGTTGCTTCGCATCTTACATATATATTTGAAAAGTATTATATATATATATATATTTCTTTTTTATCAAAGTCCCTGAAGTGCATGCGTTTACTTGAATCCTAGTAAGAATCGAGTATATACATATACATATATACATATTATCTAATATCTATATATATACTTGTACTTGTGTATATTTTCATTTGTAAATATTGTATCCACGTAATATTATTATTAACCCCGATCGTAGAAATCTCTCTCTTTATATATATATATATCGGACGGATTTGACTCGCTTCGTGCTGGTGGTCGCATTGAGAGATATTACGACCGTATAAAATCGCGAGGATGATGATGATGATAATGAGAGCGGGCGCGCGAGGTCACGAAGCGAGTCAAGCCGCGAGAACGCAATTTCAAACGCAGCTATTATATACGCAGATCTTAAAAGGCTAGAGTATTAACTTATTGCATAAGTGCCGACCATTTATCATTTTTTCGAAATCAAACCAAAGTCGGTCACGTCGTTTCGTTCGTAAGTCGCGAGGATATTATTTCAGTCAAGACGGAATTTGCGCGTTGCGAAAACAAAGATTGTCAGATAAAGAAAAAACGTTGCGGTGGAAAAGAAAAACGCTCGTTAATCAATTCGGAGCGAGATTCGGACGCCGTGGCCGACTTGCATTTTCAGCCATTTTCTCTCTTATCATAGCCTCTAGAATAATTAGTCTTAGGTATTTATAGGTTTGCAATATATCTATAATCGGCGGGTCGTCGTACGTGAAAAATCACATTCACGCTCGACGATCCGCAAAATTAATACGACTGCCGCTCGCTGCCAGCCGATTCGCGTGCTAACGGTAACGTACGTGTCGATTGCATGTTCGGGCCACTTCATTGTGCCCATTCTAGTGCTCGCACTAGCGCATTGTGGGTGCTAATGCATAAGTCATAGGATTGCGATCGGATCGCCTGACGCAAAGCGATCAGACAGAACGGAATGCGATCTATTTCGCGAACTCCGCTTTCACGCGCGGAAGAGAGCTCTGATAATCACAAAACAACCGATGTATTTCGAAATATCGTTTTTTTTCTTCTTTTTTTTTCTTTTTTTCTGTATACATTTATCACGTTTTTATTGTGTATTGACTATGATCCCGTCGTGCCGAGAGAGATTGAAAAACGAAATGCCGGCGAATAAAATTCGAGAGCGGTTTTAATTATAACGGCGACGAATGAAACAGCGTTTTTTTTTTTTTTTATTTTTTTTTTTTTTATTTCGAGATTTGAACCGAATTCTTTCTGCTCCGCCCGTTCCTCGCGCCCGTTACACGCTCCGATAACTCCGCCGATCGGTGATTCGTGATTATTCGCCGCTCGATCAGGCGTAAATTAGATATTCCTCATCAACTGTAGTTCGGTGAGTAGCGCGTCGAATCAAATTAACAATCAAATGCGATTAGGATCGCGATCGATATCTCCCTGCACGCAGAATATTGGAGGTGTAAGTACATACAAAACGAAACGCGCGTATAGCGCGTAGAGAAGTTCATATTTTACAAGACACTCGTGTATAAATATATCGTGAATTTCGATCTGGCGTCAAAATCATTACCGCAAACTCCCCTCGAATCGCGATAAATTGGACATCAATGAAACGTTTAAATCAATGAAAACATTCATAACACGAATTTAACGCGCACGTTAAAACTGTTGTTTTGTTGCGATATTAAGTTGTAATACAAACACGATCGTTCGAATTTCTGTTACGAAGGAGAAAATGGGGAAAGAGTGGTCTCTCAAGTACGCTGTGAAAACACGAGCGCGGAAGAGAAGAGATATATGATTAGGTAAACAAAGTCAAAAGTGCAGCGGGAAAGTGACGAGCGGTAAGTGAAAGAAGAGGGAGGTGGGTGGGCCGGGGAAGAAGTAGTTAGCCGGACGCGCGCACAAGCTGCGCGAATCCGTCTCCGACCGCAACTAACAACTGGCCAAGTTAGCCGGACCGGCGAGAGAAGTTTCCTCCAACTGCAGGCACGGGTTGGTAAAGTGTGTGCGGGATCACTTCAATTAATTAAAGTCTCGTCTCGGAAAACTTTGCTTTTGTGGGTATCACGGAAGCGTGCAATGACTATGGACCGCAGGGACGATGGCGGACGACTTCGCGATCGACGTTCGCAAGACCGAACGTCGCTAGACCGGAAATTAATTTTTTAAAGAAAAGCCCCCATCGGAGACACACTCGATGCGAGTTTTTTCAATCGTATACAGTTTTTGCGAGTTTCTTACGTATATTTTTTTTTGTTTTTTTTGTTTTTTTTTCCGCCACGTAAAGCGCGCGCGTGAAAAACGTTGACGTCCGCGAGGGAGTGCTTCATCATGGCGGAGTGCAAATATTTTTTCGCCCCGAGGCGCATCCCGCGACAAATTGCCGTCCTAAATTACATCGTCGATTCTCCGATAAATATGTCGCGCGCCGTTAAATCATTTAACATATGTGCTCCTCCATTATCGGCCGGAAAAATTTATGGAAATATCCGGAACACGGAGAGAGAGAAACGGCAGCTTATCGAGGCACAGGCTCTGTGCAAAATCTACTTGACGTGTGCTCTCGTAGTAGCGTGCCGCGCTATTTCAATCCGTTGCTACACCATTCCCGAAACAATCGCGCTTGGATTTGTCATCAAAACAACCGCCGGATCGGCGACGTTTGATTTACGCGCTCGCCGCCGTCGCGGAATCGACTTCATACGTGTTGTTTGAAGCTCCGCTGTCGCATCTGTCGACCGAATCGAAAATATCATCACGTTTCTCCATCGACGCGAAGAGCGCATTCTGATAGTGAAACTCGCGATTTTAGACGTTTTTCAGTTTCAGTAAAAAATAAGTTATTTGTTTTCAATTATTAAAAATATAAATAGATAATTTGTTTCGGAAAAGATAACGTATTGTTACGCGGTAAAAAGAGGTTTGCTAGAAACAACATAATAAAATCAATTACCATACGGCCAGTAAGACAAATTTGCAGAGCCCATTGAGGTTTTTATTTCACCAACAAGGTGTTTGTTGACAAAATAAAAAATTCAGTAAACAGAAAATACAATTTTTTTCATATTTTTCTTGTTGGCCATGTAACGGCGAACGCTTTCTGTGTTCCGTGTAAGTGTATAGAAAACGTAACATAATTTTTCTCTAAAAATCGTATCACGTAAAAATAATGGGCGAAGGTTCCAGGAGAACAAGGAGCTGCTTATCTCGCAGCACGTGTACATGTACGTGTATATATATATATACAATATAAATTTATATATATATACACGAAGACCAGCCCGCACGTTAGAATTTTGAAGACGTCGGTCCCAATCTTGTTAGAGAAGTTTGAGTGTAAATAAGATAACGACGGGGAGGGTGTGGACCTTCATTTTGTAACGGTCTCCGGGGAACGGTTTACGCGTCCGATCCCTTCGAGGGAAAAGGCGCTTCCCGCGAAACCGTAAAGCGAATCTCTCGTATCTTGCCCGAAGGTGCTTTTTGGGCGTTACCCGTGGAATTTAAGCTGCCGTTAACCCGCGAGGGTTCGAGCGGCTCGGTGTATCGGGAACGCGGCTCGTAAAATCCGTTACGTCTGAAACACCTTTCCCGTACGCCTCGCGCCGCGGCACATCAACGAGCCACTGCTGAAAAGTATATGAAGCGGTAATGTCTTTACATCGGGTTTCTTG